AGTACAAGAGATATCTGTATTTATAGTACAAGAGTCTCATCCCTTGCGAGAAGTAAAGTCTTAATCAAACTTATTCTCTTTTCTGAAGTTCGAATTAGAATCCAAACCATCAGAAGAAGAATATCTTGTGTTAACTTCAACAGGAGTGTTTATAGTCTTGCTATTAGTAAGTTTAGCCCGCTCAAGAATATTTACAACATATTTTAACTAAGAAAGAAGGTAACTTTTAGGTGAGTAAGTTATCTCAATACCCAAGAAATATCGAAGAAAATCCTTCATTTCAAACTGTCTAGTTAATTCTGTTTTCAAAACCGAGATACTATTAATGTCATTATCGGTAATAATCATGTCATCAATATATAAGGAAAAAATAATACAACCTATATCAATGCACTTAATAAAAAGAGTAGAGTCATAATTACTAGAAACAAATCCAATAGATGAGATCACAACATAAAATTTCTCAAACCAAACACAAGGTGCTTGTTTGAGACCATATAACACTTTCTTGAGCTTATATACATATCAAGAGTCATGTAAAAAACTAGAAGAAGGCGTCATGTAAACTTTTGCTTGAAGATCTCCATTCAATAAGGTATTTTTAACTTCAAATTGTGAGATATGCCATTAACAAACTAAAACTACAGTAATAAGAGTACAAATAGTAGTCATTTTTGCAATAGAGGTAAATGTCTCTTCATAATCCATACCATACTGTTGAGAGTATCCTTCTGCAACCAACCTAACTTTGTATCGCTAAATAGACCCATTAGAATTAGTTTTGATCTTTTATACCCAACGACAACCAACAACACTCTTACCAAGAGGTAGAGGAACCAAATCTCAAATATCTATCTTATATAAAGCATAAAATTCATCATCTATAGCTTGATGCCAAAGAGGATCAAGAATAAGCTCTTTATAAGAAGATGGCTCACAGAAATAATGAATAGAAGTCAAAAGGAAAGTAAAAGATGAAGAATAACAAGAATAAACAAAATATGGTGGTTTTATGAACTTACAAATGTGTGTGGATTAACGTAGAGGTGGATCCATAATCTCAGAAGAAGCTTGAGGGGTTGTAGCTAAGAATGAAGATTCAGGTATACCAGACTGTAAAGTGTCAGTACCTACAGAATGATGAGTACAAATTGATTGAACATGGAAATGAGTATCTGAGGTACTAAAAACTTGAGATGATAAACTATTAGAATAATTAGAAAACAAGTCTATATGAATAATATCAAGTCTAGTCAAGCCATGAGAAGTAGATGGAATAGAAAAGAAAGGTATATGCTCGAGAAAGACAACATGGCTAGACACATAAAGTTTCTGAGTTATTGGATCAAAACAACGATGCCCTTTTTTACCTTTACCATAACCCAGAAATACAAAGATAACAGATCGAAAGGATAACTTAATATGTTCTCTATAGGGATGAAGAATGAAATAAGTATAACCAAATACTCTAAATGAGGAATAATCAAGAACATACCCATATAATTTTTTAAAAGGAGAAAAACTTGAATTATGAGAAGATGAGATTGTATTAATCAAGCTTACAATAGTAAGGACAACTTCTCCCTAAAAGTCACTAGGAATAGAAGTAGACAACAAGAGAGAATAAGTAGTTTCAACAATATGGCTATGATTTAGCAACACCATTTTGCTCAAGAGTATATGTACATAAAGTTTAATGAATTGTTCCATCTAAGGCAAGCAATTAACAATATTTATTAGAAGTGTATTTCTCATCCAAATCACATATAAAACATTTGATTATAACAAAATGTTGAGTTTTCACAAGAGCTTCAAATGCTATATAGATGTCATATAATTCAGAACGATGTTTCATTAAATAAACTCAATTATAATGAGTATGATCATCTATAAATGAAATATAATATCAAGAACCTGTTTTTATAGCAACAGAAGAATGTCCTCTTATATCAGAATGAATGAAATTAAAAGGTAAAAAAGAAATAGAATTCGAATGAAAGGTAAAGTGAAAAATTTTGCTAGTTTATATCCACTACAATCAGAAATATCATAAATGTTTAAATTTCTTAAAGCTCATATGGATGTCAAAAATCTTAAACGAGAAGACAAAAATGACTTGGATGAGAATGCCATAAATAAAAACTAGAAGATAAAAGACTTAAACAAAAGGAAGACAAATCAACAGTAGCAGTAACAGTAGCAGCAACAACTAACACTATTAACTCATTCAAAATATATAGTTCATTCTCCCTATGACCTGTCCTAATAAGCTCCTAAGACTGTTGATCCTATACATAACAAAAAGAACCAGAAAACATGACTAAATGATTACCAAAATCACATATTTGACTAACAAAAGTAAGATTTAATTTGAGTTTTAAAATAAGATAAATATTAATGAGAGACAAGTGAGATGTGACAATAGAACCAATACCTATTAAGGACATAAAAGTGCCATCAGCAATCATAACAAAAAATGAAGGATGAAGGGGACACAAAGGTAAAAGATGAAGAATCTAGAGACATGTCATGGAAAGTACCAAAATCCAACACCTGTTCAAAATGTGACATAATTGAGGAGTTATAAGACAATTAATTTATGGAAGAAGAAGCAGACATTGCTTGTGGTTGTAAGGAGAGAAACTTTTGAAATTGCTTAGTCAGAGTACTCGAATTGGTGATAGAGCTTGATGAATTTACCACTGCAGTATTCTAGTGTAGTGGTTTATGACCCTGAGGTGGTCTGGAAACATTAGATTATGACTCGCAACCATATTTCTAAGCTTGATTTTCCTATCTCAACTTAGGACACTAAGTCTTCCAATGACCTTTCTGCTTATAAAAACTACACTCATGCATCGAAACTAACTCTTATGTAAGGTTTATTCTGATGATTAAAGAATAACTTAGAGGGTACTACTAGTACAAAAGGATTTAAGGCATAAAGAATTTCTTTTTCAGAATAAGAATAAAAATGTATTTCTTCAGCCAATAACTCCCTGATAATAGAGTCAACAAAAGATATTGAAGAACGATGCAAAATTGAATCTCTAAGTTCTTCAAAATCACTACGAAGTGCTGTTAAAAATTATACCAATCGTTGCTGCTTTCTACACTCAATATAGGCACCACATGCCTTTAATTCCATAGATTTTGTAAGAGCCAATTGATTAAAAAAATATGTCATAGCAAAATAAAACTCTTAAATACTCGTATTCTTCTCATAAAGATCCTATATATCATTTTGTAATTGATGCTGCTTTGTAAAATTTGATTATGTGAATAACTATTGCAAATGATCCTGAACCATCTTTGTTGTATCATACTTTGCTAACCGAGTGCCTATAAAATGCTCAACGAAATTGTTAATCCATGTAATAATTTTTGCATTGGTTGCTTCCCATACATTTATCGAAGCAGCATCCCCTTCTTTAGTATTCCTAGGTTCCATATAAATTTCACTAACATTCCTACATCCTTTTACCCTTAAGGAAATTTCTCATTATATAGCTCCAATATAAACAATTCCTTCTATCCAATCTCATATTCACATATTAAAGCGAATCATCTCTTTCAGTAGCTATAATCAACAATAATAAAGAACCAGAATGCAAAAGTAGTATAAAAAAAAATATCAAATTGCAAAAACTAAATAGAGATTGCAAAAACTAAATAAATATCTTTTTGAAGTTATACGATTACTCCAAAACACAAAATAAATTTACAGAAATTGAACACAAATACCAAATTATAGAAGCTGAAGGGAAGATGAAATACCAAAATAATTACAAAAACTGAATGCAAATATCAAATTGCAGAAGCTGAAGGAAAGATGAAATATTGAATTTTACAAAAGTGGAAGAAAAAATATCACTCTAATTTTTTTTAATGAATAGTACAATGTTAAAACAAGTTGGATCCTTGAAAGTTGTATTTAATATTACATCTCGTTCCATAAAACCTGTTCCGATACTATGTTAAAATAATTCAATTAACATAAAGAAAATATGAATATGAAAAAGAAAGAGGCTAAAATTCTTCTTTTTATTTATTTTTGAAAATATATAATTTAGTCTAAATACAAAGAACTTATATATAGATTAAGTTAAAAATATTATTCTACTCTTAATAAATAAAACAAAATAAATTTATTATTTAACAAATAATTTAGTGACTTTGTTATATAATTTCTAAAACATGAGCAATTAATACATAAAATAGCAAACTAGTAAATATTTCTTATTGCAATAATGAAGAATTGGGGATTATAAAATATGAAATAAATCAATTAATATTAAAATCATGAAATAAAATCTTATAAGTTTGTTTTAGATTTATATGGGAACATTTAGACACGTAAAATGAGTACTAAAATCCAATACAAATCTAATTAATCAACAACTAGGTGATTAATTTCTAAAAATTTAGGGTATAACAATTGTGCTATTTGCTATCAATGGAATTAATTTTTTATTTTAAAAAAATGATGAGAGTTGATTTATATTGATACTATAATTACATATTGTTGTTTAAGAGGAAAAAAAGATTATTACAACTTATATAAAACTAGATATGCTACACCGATGGATGCTATTTCTAAGATAATTTATTGGGATTAATGACATAAATTTTTATAATTTACTTATACATTTATTTTCAAAACATAAAGGAAAGAAATAAGATAAAGTCTACAAGATTGCATTTGGTTAATGTTGTAAAATAAAAAAAATAAATATAAAGGGATATAAGTATATTTGATTGAATAACGAAGACATAAACATTAAATAAATTCTTATACTTTCGAGATAAAATATGCAAATTGGTTTTCACTATGCACTACCAAAATTTTCTGCCCTTCACAACAACCTTGAATGACTTGTCACCCGTGGACAACCAATACGGCATTTTGCGCCAGTTGTATTTGAATGACATGTCATTTACATACAAAATCAAAATATTATATGACCCGTCGTTTGGTGAAAGAACCGACATGCCTTCTAAAACTCATCCTTTAACACCTTCACTACTTCATGGCTGCGCTCACTCCAAGCAAACTGTGAACAATGGCTTCGCTGAATTTAGCTTCAATCTTTAGCTATAGTTACAGGGGTTTTAGCGCACCAGTCACCCTCCTGCGCACGCTAGCATCCACCAGGGCTTATTCTCTCAACAAGAAGGCTTTGGTTTGGTGTTCTCTGAGTAAAAGGAAGTTCAGCTGTGAATCATTGAAGCAAGATATTGCTAGCACAACTGCCACTTCTTCTGTTAATGGGTATTCTTTACAGTCCGTTTATTTTAATTGGTTTCTTATATTTTAGCTTGGTTTGGTTAAAGTTTCAATCATTAATGTTTTTGTTTGAAGTAAGAGGTAAATTTTTGGTACCATGGCTTGCTCTTCGTATGATGATAAGAAAGTTGAGGCTTACCAAATGTTATGATGGTGTATTGTATTTCAGAATTGTAATGTCTTTGAAAAGTTTCAGTTTTTGGTTTAGTTGCTATCAGTGGTGTAAGTGAATGTACTGAACAATTTTAAGAGCAAAAAATGGCTCCTGCATATTTTGGCTTTGGGGAAAGTTGACCTGAAAATAGCGAGCATTTTTGGTTTCTGAAGAAATTATGATATTTGAGAGTTGTAATGTCTTTGAAAAGTTTTGAGTTTTAGTTTCAAAGAGTTGTTGAGGTATTGTGAGTATTAGTTTTATTTGTTTTCTTTTGTAAGGTTTTTGATAAGGTATTAGCAATGGCCCTTAATGAAGTTGCTGTTTGCTCGAAGAAGGTATCGTGTTCTACTATTGAAAGTTGATTCTATGGAAGGACTGAGTTGGAATTTAGTGATAACAGAGAAGTTGCTCCTACTTGTAGAAACGTGGGATCTTAGCCAAATTTAACGGAAGATAAGAAGAGAGGTTTCTACACAATTTTTCTACCTTCTTATTAGCCTTCAATTAAAACACTTGACAGCCCTTTGAGGCCTTATTTAATTGAGCTTGCCATTCCTTTTTTGGTCTTGTTATCCACATTTAATTTGAAATTCATTTGTTGTTGCAATATACATTTGATGTCGCCTAATCTTGTCGATAGTGAATTTGGAGACTTAATTTGTTTCAGTTACCCGGAATATACCCGCTTGCTTCCGTGCCCCTCTCACAATAGCCCACCAAGAATTGAACACTTGGTTGTTTCAGAAGAAGGTCCTGTTCTAGACTATATCTGTAAAGCTCTGGACCTTCCTCCTCTGTAAGTGCTGTTCTCTTGTATTCTAAATGTTTTTCTTGATGTTAAAACACACATTCCAAAATTTTGCACAGCATGAACATCATTATTAATCAAGATAGAGTGATACATAGCAAATTACATTCTTTGAAGGTTTGTTGCAGATCTTATCCATTTTGGAGCTGTACATTATGCTCTTGTATGCCCACAGCCACCTCCAACAGCAACTCCTGAGCAGATTAGGGTATTTGAAGAAGTTACAGCACCATCAGTTCTAAAGAAGAGAGCTTCTATCAAAGGGAAAACAGTACGAGAAGCACAGAAAACTTTCCGGATAACCCATGTTGATCAGTTTCTTGAAGCTGGAATGTATTTGCGTGTTCATGTACACCCAAAACGCTTCCCTAGGTAAACACAATATTAGGTGGAGGTTTACTGCCATCTTCCATTAAATTGATACTCATTGACATTCTAATTGTCTTCAGGTGCTATGACATTGATTGGAAATCAAGAATTATACATGTGACTGAATCTTTTGTTGTTTTGGACAAACCTGCTGGTACATCGGTATGGCATTGATGCATTAGTTTATCAATTTTGTTGATTTGGCTTGACCAACAGTCTGATTCTGGTAAACAAATTATTTTCATAATTTTGGATTTGATATAAAATACTAACTATGATGATACAGGATATTCTCAAAAGAAAATAAATTAACAGCTTCTGCCTTTGCTCCAAATAAACTAAGACTTGTCAAGCCTTGATGAGCTCTTGTCTGTTCATAGTGCATGAGTTTGGAGCCACGCTCAATTTTATGAATGAAATCTACAGTCACTTTGTGCTTTTCACCATTTACACTAGTGAACTGATTGCTTATATGATATGTAAACATGAACTTCATTTAGGTTGGAGGAACTACAGACAACATAGAAGAAAGTTGTGCCACCTTCGCGACTCGTGCATTGGGATTGACAGCCCCATTAAGGACTACCCATCAGATTGATAACTGCACAGAAGGCTGGTATGCACTCTGATAGAATTATGTTGTTGTTCTTATAGTTATCATGAAGAGTAAATAATGGTGTGTATTTCATGTGTAGTGTTGTGTTAGCCAGGAGCAAGGAGGACTGCTCAGTTTTCCACGGAAAAATCAGAGTAAGTTTCTGATACTATATCTTACATACAAATATTTGATTGGTTAGCTTGGGTGCTGGGCAGGCCACCCTCCAGAAGTGCAGGACCTTCAGCATATTATCACCAAGGTCACCACTCCCAGAAGTAGATGGTCACGAAGTTTTAAGTGCATCTCAAGGCCCTTAATTCAACCACATCTTTTTTGCTGTCATCAGGAGAAAACGGTGAAGAAGCTTTATATTGCACTTGCTGCATCTCCTGTGCCCATTGGTGTAGTTAACCACTACATGCGTCCTATTAATATGGCTCCGAGACTTGTTTCAGAAGGTAATCATCTCCATCAAGCATTGAATTGATGAAGTTGCGACTCAAGCAGTGTTATTCCTGGATATTACCTTGGCATTATGTACACTTGACTTACCAAGTACTTGTCATCAAGTGTCGTAAAGGCTATATACCTCTAGAAAGTGCCTCTCCTCTCTCCTTTATACCTTCCAGTTTGTATTCAAATGCCTCGCCAACTGATACCATGAAACCCATACCAGGAAATTAGTTAAGAGTTGCATTCTAATTAGAGGCTCTTTTGAATTATTACAACTGGATAGGGCACAACTTTCCGAGCGAATATCTTTAGCCAGTTCTTTTTGAAATGATATTGGTTTGTCATCATGCTCATTTATTTATTGAAGGTGGCAGAACTACCGGGTAATCAGTAGTCTTTCTGCGAGGTGGTTGTGGTATAAATTTGAAATAAAAGCTTTTATGGCATGCAGAATTTATAAAAGGTTGGCATTTATGTCAACTTGAGGTCATGGAATGCAAGAGAGTTCCTTGGCCAGATGCTGTTGTGGAAGAGAAATATTGTGTTCAAGACTGTGGGTGGCCCTCAAAGGATCATGCATATGAGTGTAAAATCAACCTTTTGACTGGCCGTACACATCAGGTTATTCAGCTTACCTTTTCTTTCTTTGCAAGTCATAATCCTCTCTCTCTCTCTCTATTTTTTTTTTTTTTATATTTATACAAGTTGAGTCATAATTCTCATGTATTTGGATTGAATATGTATCTTATGCATTCTGTGCAAAAAATTAGCATTTGCTGCATATCCTCATTGAACCATGAGCATTCACTAAATGATCTGGACAAGATTTTCCAATGAGAAAACTCAAAAGTCGTATGGATCTGCATTTCTCAAATCATGATCTTAGAGTCTCTCAGCAGTAAGTCAGCGATTGGCATTGATAGTTAGCTTCTATATTACTTGGTTCATGGATGGAATATCTAGTGGGGATATAATGGTTACTTTGGCTATAACATTTAAGTCATATGGTGCAGATACGAGCTCAACTGGCTGCCGTCGGTGCACCTCTGGTGGGTGACTCAATGTACATGCCAGCTGCAGTTGCAGAAATGGTCAGTCCGGGTTGTAATCCATTTGGAAAATACAAAAAGCAATACACTAGTGAGGATGATAAAGCAATAGCTGTTGAAGAGTGGGTTTTATGTCACGGCAAGGAACCAAACGTTGCTATTGGTCTTCAGGCATGCCAGATTTCATGGGACGATGGCAAGCACATTTACAATGCTGGATCTCCCTGGTGGAGATGCTGAATGGCTTAAATAGGTACTGGATGATTGGGATCAATTACCAAGCTGAGTGTTCTTCTTCAGCTGAAGTTTGAGGTCCATCTAGCATCACTCTTTGATCTAAGGTTCTGACTCACTCTTGCAGCTGAAACTCATTTAATGGACTGCCTTTCCTTTCACTGTTTGCTAATAGTGAAACAGATACACTGTGCAGGTATCCTATGGTCAGAGGGTGAGAATCAATTTAAGAACCGTAAACTGTAGGCCTTGTGACATGTTGTAAAGCAAAGGCAAATAAAATTCTGAAGGGAAGATATAACGTGGCTAGTGTTATATGGTTAGATATCCTTGGTGAACCTTTCTAATCTTTTATACCAAGTCCCTTTCATGGCATTATGCATAGATTGTTACCAGGAGATATTTTCTTTTGATATGATGTTAGTATGGCACGCTAATTCTTTTTGTTTCAATACATCTCATTGTTTTCCATCCTTTATTTATGATTCGGATGTTTATTATTATTATACAGTACACTAAGATGTGGGAAAAAGAAATAGGAATCAAAAGAGCTCCTTTTGTTTTTCTGGATTTTTTTCAATTGCATCCTTCTTTTTTTTTTTTTTTTTGTCAAATTGATAATTGATTGCTTATGATTTGTTATAGGAACACACAATTAAAAGATAGAGGACCGAAGTGTAAAACATGAAAAATTGAGTTGGCCAATCTAAAATTAGCATTAACAAGTACTTTTTTATTTCTATTTTATCATTTTTCTTCTATTTCAATCCCTTTAGTTTTTGGATGTTTTACTTTGATCCTTTTTTTTTAGAATAAAAAAAGCAAGAGAAAGTCTGCTTGATTATGGTGATAGAGAAAGAAAGTTGTCAGTTTACTATAATTTGATGATAAAAATGGCTAATCTTAATGTCATAGGTTCCTTTAATGAGAGGTGTTTAATAGTGATGGTTTTTTTCTATAAAAATATCTGAAAATATAAATGGGGTTCTATTTATTTATTTTTAAATAATTTTAAGGTGTCTTGAGGTAATATGTTTTATATGAAAGGAGGTATAGGAAGATAAAAAGATTAACCAGTTGAAGATGAAGGCTCAAGCTCGTTGAACAGCTAAATTGTCTGCGCTGCAATTGCTAACTGGCTCGGACCAATCACAATGTAAGATGATCCCAATGCTTCCACCTTATTTGTTTTTTGAGATTACCAACGTAGCTACTGTACAATTGTGTCCTATTTTCCTTCTACTCCTCACAGGTGATATCTGAACTGAGCTTTTATCTGTATGATTACCAGAACTTGGTACTATAGATATGGTCTGCAGTTGCATGTGATAGGATTATGTTATGTGTTGTTTCAAATGGCCTGTCTTTGAGTCTCCGTAAGAACAAATTTTCAAAAGGGCTCGAGCAATGGGATGTCCAGTGTTGACTTGGCCGGTACCCAAATACGACTGGAAAAATTCAGATAAATAAATGTCGTTTGTATTTAATTTTTTTTGGTTGAAAAGTAATTTTTTCTAAAATAATTTTTTAAGAAGTATATTATTTTTTAATATTTGATAGTATTATAAAAAATAAATTGAAAAATAATTTCCAGTGTTCGATTATGTAATGAAAAATGAGTTGGAAAATAAATTCAAATTTATTAAAATAAGAAGGAATAAATTTTATAAATTAAAAAGTTGGAAATAAATTCAAATTTATTAAAATAATAAGGAATAAATTTTATAAATTAAAAGGTTGAATGAGAATAAAATTAAAAAAAATTCTAATTTCATAAATTATCTCAGATAAAATAAATAACAATGACAATAATAGAAATCAAATCTAACATATAAAAACATTGAAAAATGATGAAATTAAACAAAAAAAATACAATTTCATAAATTATTTTCAATAAAATAAATAACTATAAAAAAATAAAGACCAAATATGATAGATAATAAATTTTAATTAAGAAAATGATAAGAGAAAAGCAAATAAGAATCATAAAAATAAGAATCATAGTTAATAAAGAAATTTTAAGAAATGAAATTAAAAAAAAAATTAAATAAAATATATAACAATAAAAAGTTTGGAGATCAAATTTGATATAATCAGTAAATAACATGATATTTCTAATTTTTTCACAACTTTTGAAAAAATATTTTCCGCCTAAAATAAAAAGAAAACACTTTTTAGAAAATCAAGTCAAATTTTTCTTTAATTAAAAAGTGGTCTCTGTTGATCAATTTTTCTAATAACAAACAAACATAAATAAGTTTGGAAAGTAATTTTTAAGAAACTATTTTCCATGAAATAAACGGAACCTTAATACTTCAATCGGTCTCCAAAATATTATAAACAAATCTCATTCATATCATATCAAATTCAACTAGTCATTTCTTTTTCTTAATGTAAGGTTTCAATTCTATTATTGAGTTCTATCCTCTCATAATTCAAGATTTTTTTTTTTAATTTTGAAGTCTAAATTTAATATGTCAATTTTTTCCAACATGGTTATCAAAGCTAGTTAGGTTTAATAGGGTGTTTAAGAGATTTATGCATGTGTGTAGAAGGGAGAAATCCCAATAGAATGTAGAATATCAAGTGACATCTAAAGAATAAAAAACCTAAAGGTATAAGAAGATAGAATTTAATAAAAAAAATTAAAATATTACATCAAGAAATAGAGAGAGAAAGCTAAAAAAGGTTATGTGCAAGTTGATAAAATCTGACATAAAAGATGAGGTAATATAAAAGAGACCATATATGAAAAAAAGAAGAAATAACTCATTTTAAGGGAGATGAAAAATGATTGAGGAGCCATGATAAGAAGAAGACAACAACTTGATAAAAAGTTGATTATAAATCATATTTTGAAATCTTACCTAATAGTTTAAGTTTTTGAGTTAAGAAGATTTTTTATCATGACATTAGATTCTTGATAACCAAATAATCATGAATTTGAATTTTATCATTTTTATTCTAATTAATAAAATTAAGTATAAGTTAATGTGATTCTATATAAGTTTCAAACTCAATAAACTTTAAGTTGAGAGTGTGAATTAAAAAATAATATAAATAATTGATTATTATTGAGTTCTATCATCTCATAATTCAAGGTTTTTTTTTTTTTTTAATTTTGAAGTCTAAATTTAATATGTCAATTTTTTCCAACATGGTTATCAAAGCTAGTTAGGTTTAATAGGGTGTTTAAGAGATTTATGCATGTGTGTAGAAGGGAGAAATCCCAATAGAATGTAGAATATCAAGTGACATCTAAAGAATAAAAAACCTAAAGGTATAAGAAGATAGAATTTAATAAAAAAAATTAAAATATTACATCAAGAAATAGAGAGAGAAAGCTAAAAAAGGTTATGTGCAAGTTGATAAAATCTGACATAAAAGATGAGGTAATATAAAAGAGACCATATATGAAAAAAAGAAGAAATAACTCATTTTAAGGGAGATGAAAAATGATTGAGGAGCCATGATAAGAAGAAGACAACAACTTGATAAAAAGTTGATTATAAATCATATTTTGAAATCTTACCTAATAGTTTAAGTTTTTGAGTTAAGAAGATTTTTTTATCATGACATTAGATTCTTGATAACCAAATAATCATGAACTTGAATTTTACCATTTTTATTCTAATTAATAAAATTAAATATAAGTTAATGTGATTCTATGCAAGTTTCAAACTCAAGAAGCTTGAGAATGTGAATTAAAAAATAATATAAATAATTGATTGAAACCCTATTTAACAATTTATATTTTCGAGTTGATATAAATCTTTAACAAAATTAAACATTGGAAAGAGACATTTGACCCAGGAAATCTGATAGCAATCACAAGAAGAGAAAAATGGTCATGTTTAGACAAATTCAATTGTCAAAGAAAGGAGAATTAAAGAGATCTCATTAGCTAAGCATGATAAAAAGAGTACTTAAGATAAAGATGTAAGAAAAATCTTTTCAAGCTGAAGATGAAAGATAGAAAAGAAAGAGTGATAGCAACGTGGGTGTTCAAAACAAATGAAAGAAGACACGATTGAAGTTTTTGTCATCAACAAGAGATTTTAAAATCACATCATTCGAATATATTGCAAGATGATCCTTCAATATATTTATAAATTTTAAGAAATGTAATATTTTTAAAATTAAAGGAAAGTGTTAGAATTAATTTTGAAGGCTAAATTAAATATACCATTTTAGTTTTTTAAGTGAATAAATAATGTATTAATTTATTAATTAATTTATTTATTTATAAAAGTTCTCCACCTCATTGCAAGCTTTCTAACAGGAATGATTAGCTGAAGGAGGATAATTGAAGACAACTCTCCTCCATATCACAATACTCTCAATACATATGTTGTAAGAGTGTAGGGATAACTTGAAAGATAACTGTATTTTTGGACTGCTGTTGGCTGTGCAAAATAAATAAATAAAATAATACATGACAGGAGTTTTTTCGCACCTTGCCGCTTGGACTAGGCTGAGCAACGGGTAGTTTTCTGCACCTGTGCCTGGCCAAATGGTAGAAGACATGTGCACCATGCCGCTTGATCCAGGCCTCAGCCGCATGGTGATTTGAATTAATATTTTTGATATTTTTAAATTATTTTAATATATTAATATAAAAATAATTTTTTTTAAATAATTTTTTTAATATATTTTCAAATAAATTTTTTTTAAAAAAATAACTACTATTCCAATATCAAACAAAATCTACAACTCCTATGAAGCTAGAGTAGGTATTATACATTAGCCCATTTTACAAGTTAACTGAATTAATTGAGGTACATAGAGTATATAGTTTTTTAAAATATTTTTTTGTTTAAAAATTTATTTAAATAATATTTTTATTTTATTTTTTAAAATTTATTTTTGATATCAATATATTAAAATGGCTTAAAAATAAAAATAATATTTTTTTAAAAAAATTCAAAACTTTTGAAAACGTGCACGTGAGGTTTTTATTATTTTTAGTGGTATGGAAAACAGGTAAATAACTGCCTTAACTTCCCGCCACGACATCCTCTGCTTATCATCGTCAAGTGAGTTACTACTCCCTGCCCTTTGTCAAGTAAGGTGTATAAATACTCCAAATACAAACACACTAGGACATTTGGAACAACAACCTCTCCATCGTTATATTAAACCTTCTCTTCCTCACTCATCCTGATTTCTCTATTTTTCCTCACCATTTCACTAACTTGATGTTCAATGGAGTATCCCCTATTTTGAAAAACTTGTTTTGCAAGAAGACACCAAGCCTAACATGCAAGCCCAAAGCCCAGTATACATTTGAAGTGATATTGAGTTAGTGTTGCAGTTCTTGGATCAAAGATTTAGCTTTGTTAGATATCGCCATGGAGAGAGTGCTCATGACCTGATTTGTGTGTGTAAACAACCCAATTGCTCAAACCTTTACCATCGCTCATGAAAGCCCCTTCAACCTGCAAAATTCAAGGGTCGAGAAAACCTTTCTATGTTCATTCAT